ATCTCTTGTGGCCTCAGTTGGATTAGATTCCAAAGTCTCTTCTATCTGTGTATAACTGACTGTTCTCAACATTGTATGCAAGGATGAGCTTGAGTGTGGGTTAGACTCTTTGACTTTATATGGTTTCTAGGTTGATTTCTTTTTCTCAGACAAATCAAGCACACTTGGGGTTTTTGAATAGACCGTGTTCTAAAATAACTTCTAGCATCTATTTTCATTCAGATAAATGAAGGTCGCTACTCTTGGTACAATATCTGCAGCAGGTGTAGTTCCTCTGTGCTTGGTGTTATGTCCAGTGGGTACCAGCCACAATTGTTAGCTGAGATGGAAGCGAAAATGATGCTTTACAGTAAAATTTGTGTGATAAGGAGGTTAGGCTGAGCACGAGACTTGGGATGCTTGAATAACATTTTAATTAGTTTATAAGTTCCCTGGATAGGAGCCACATTGAGGTAAAAAATGTAACTGAAAATACTGGGTGACATCTAGGCAGTGGGTGCTCATTTGTGTCTTCCAGAGAACAAATAACTTGCTGCAACAAAATATCAGTTAAAAAAAATACAGGTACTAAGTATGCATAGACTTTTAAAATTCCCCTCAATGATACTATGAAATGAAAATACCCAGTTCAGTATTTACAAATACGTAGCTATTGGTATTAAATTTAAACTTGCAGTGAAAATTAGTAAGCACTTTGTTATTTGCTTTATGATTTATTCTGTTTTACAGCCTTTGGTTGAAGAGGCTTATTGGGAGACCAGTCTTCAAAATCCTATAATTAGGTACTCCACACCAGCATCATGCCCATCTTTTCCTTGATTCTCATTGTCTCCTCCCCATGCACGGATGCCCCTGTAGTTTGTGTTTGCCTGCTCATCATTCATAGTTCTGGGAATCCTCAGCTGACAGCACTTCTAGAGAGTAGATAATACCACTTTCACAGGGTTCCATCTGTGTTCTGGCTTAACTTGGAAGAGTTTTCATTCCTAACGGGACTCTCTGACAGGATCAAATACTCAGGGTTTTTTGTTCTCCTGGTGCTGATGAGGAGCCTTGATGGATAGATGGGACTTTTTGATGATTCACCTCTGTGCCTCTATCTCTACCTCTCTCCTCATGTTCAACAGACCGTTTTTAAAATGCTTATTAGTAGACAAGCCAAAAAGAAAACAACAACAACAACAAAAAACAAAACAGGCCACATGTTGTAGGGATGGGGGAAGATAGGAGAATAGGATATAAATATAAACTTCCCCGTGAAAAATATCGGGAGCTACATAAAACATTTATACTCGTTAGAATAGCTTCCTAGAAGCAGAATGAAGATGTTCACTGTGGGATTATCTATAATAAAACCTGGATTAATGTCCCTTAACAGATGTTTGATTTAATAATATGCTCATTAGCTTGACAGACTGACTCTGATTCTCTGTAAATGAGGAAGGGAAGGTTGTATGAGCAGCCATATTGTCCAAAAGGAAGGCAGAGTTCAACTGACAGACTCACTGGATGTTCTTTTGCAAAAGACTGGAGTGGTAGGGATGAGGGATGAAATTTATTTGTTCTGTGATTTGTTCAATGTATTTTTCCCAAAACTCTGCTCTTTGCCCATGCAGGTGCTTGGGGAGCACTTAACACTTTGATTCTGACCACATAAAGATTTTGGCCATCCCTGAACCTTTTTTTTTTTTTAATTTGTTTCTGGGGGATTCAAGAATCTAAATCTAATTATCATTGTGTCCCACTGGAGACTCTGCATCCTCACTCAGGCTTGCACTCTGGGAACACTACTTTTAGAGTAGCTGCCACGCTTACTGTACTTGCTGCATGTCATTCTCTGTCCTTTTTGAGTGAGTAGGTGGTGGTGTCATCACAGTTCATGTATACAGAAGTAAGGATGCAAGAGACTCAATTATTTGCTCAAGTTGTTGCAACTTGGTCCAACCTCTGCTGTACTATCTCTGAGTAGTGTGCTTTTGACCACTACTTCCTGAAGTTGTCTTCCTGTCACAATTGACAGTGAACAAAGTTTACCTCTCAGGCAGATAGGAGCAGTCTTTCTGTGTTGTTCTTGCCAAAACAAGCGTAGCTTACCTATGTATTTGCATATTATTAATTTTTAAACATTAATGTTTGCTCAGCTCAATTCCATTAATCAACATATCTGTTTTTATGTCAATATCATGCAGTTATTATTATTATAACTCTGTAGTACAGCTTGAAATCAGAGATGGTGAGACCTCCAGAAGTTTTTGTTTGTTTTTTTGTTTTTTTGTTTTTTTTTATTGTACAGGATTGCTTTAGCTATCCTGGGTTTTTTATTTTTCTATATGAAGCTGAGAATTGCCCTTTCTATGGCTGCAAAACATTATGTTGGAATTTTAGTGGGGATTGAATAGATTGCTTTTGGTAAAATGGCTGTTTATACTATGTTAATCCTACTGTTCTATGAGCATGGGAGATCTTTCCATCTTCTGATATCTTCTTCTTTGACGTTCACTTTCTTTGAAATTCACTTGCTTGGTTAGGGTTACCCCCAAGATATTTTATAGTTACTGGCTATTGTGAAGGGTGTTGTTTACCTGATTTCTTTCTCAGTCCATTTGTCATCTGTGTATAAGAGGGCAGCTGATGTTTTTGAGTTAGTCTTGTATCCATCTACTTCACTGAAGATGTTTATCAGCTGTCCGAATTTCTTGGTAGAAATTTTGGTTTCACTTATGTATATTATCATATCATCTACAAATAATGATACTTTGACTTTTTCCTTTCCAATTTGTATCCCTTTGATCTTCAGTTGTCTTATTGTTCTATCTAGAACTTCAAGTACTATGTTGAATAGATATGGAGAGAGTGGACAGCTTGTCTTGTTCCTGATTTTGTGGATTTGCTTTACACAGCTGTGCACTAGGTCCTCTTCACATGTGCAGTGGAGATGTATTGAATGAGAGAAGAATCGAAAAAAAGAAGGAAAAAATTATGTATGTTAAGGCATATAACATGATACAGAATAACTAACACAAACAAAACATATATGATTACCATTCACACATTTGCTATGTTTGGTGGTAAAATTACTGAAATCTATCTTATGTGCTTTCCATGTATACCATTCATTAACTGAAGTCTCTGTCTTGTACAATAGAACTGAGATTATTTCTCTTGTCTAGCTGAACTTGCTATAAAATGAACACATCCCTACCACCATCTCCCACCCTGGTAACTACCATTCTTCCCATTTTCTGACTAAAAGAGGACCTGGAAACATTCTTAATTTTTTTTCATTCTCCCATGTTTCATGCATGCTGCTGAGATGCCTCACAGCTCTGAACACATATTTGGAAACATGTTGAGTAGATCCCCTCAAGTCATAGATGACAACATCAACCTGGATGTGTCATTGGAGATGGATGTTGTGTGCTCTAGGGAATGAGTGGTCTGTATTCAAATGGCATGGCTCACTGAAAGTGATGGGGGCCTCTCTTCCAGTGCTGCTTGAAGCCATCTCTTGTTTCAGGGACACCAAAGACAAAGAAATACATGAATAGAGAAAGGAAATGTGGATAATTTAAGTTTTCTGTCACTCTGAGAACAGGCTGACTAGTAAAAAGTTTGCTAGATGATAAAGATTTTGATAAGAAAATCTGAGTACTTTTGCTCAGAAATCCCTAGTCCCTCTAAAGAAACGTATTCAGATGGTGCTTGCTGGCTTCATGTTGTATACTTTGTGGATCCACACGAGTATCTTTTCTGTGCTTGAAAACTTATGCTTCTGCCTTTTAGTCAGTGGTGATTGTTTTATCCTTCTTTTCCCATTACTATAAAATGGCTCCAGGAGTTCCCAACATTACTTGCTCTGGTGATCCATCCCCATTCATCCCTGCCCTCCATCCTATTCTAGCCAATTTCTGGGCTTATATTAAGAAGTTTTATTTTGCTAGCATATGTTTTTGAAATGGCAGTGTCAAAATTGTCGTGGTCATGTATTTCTTCCATAAGATACTTATATTCAGATTTCACTTGTGGTGTCATCTCATTTAGTTTTGTTCCTGTATTTTATCTGCATTAGCCAATTATTTTGGTATCTGCTCTTTATAAAATGCCATCTGGCCTTTGCACTTGGTGACAAGGAGACAACAGAAGCACATACTTGGTTGTCCATACATGACCTGAATAGACAAAGCATCATGGACTAGAAATAGACTGGAAAGAAATGACTGGTCACTGACTACAATACCCAGCAGCTTCTTATGCACATAATTCTGAAGGGATAATATCATAGGTTGGATTTATGTAATTACACTGACTCAATGATGTTAAATACACTGTGATTCTGTAAGATTTAAACTATGTTGTTGGGGACTGATGTCATTTAACTAAACTATAGTTAGTTAAATTTGTATATAAATAACCATTGAAAGCAGGGCTACCCCTACAGAAACATGCAAACAATAATATATATTTGTCTCTGAGTTAGGACAGCTGTTAATATTCTGGTATATAGACCTTGGGTGGTTTAATAAAAGACATACAACATTAAACATGAAATTCTTTGTCTTCTAGTTCCTGTTCTTTCCCTTTCTTAGCCTGCTACAAACTCAATATCATTGTAAATAAAAGAATACTTCTCCCCTCACTATATATAAGCAACTTCAATGAGAAATATGCAGTATTTGTGGATATGCTCTTTAGTTTGTCATATAATTTTGTTTTCTATTTATCATACTTTTCCTTTGGCTCTATAGTCTTATTTCTTTTGGGAATTAACCAACGTATTGTGCTACCCCAGATCAAAGAAGTCGTGATTTTCTGTTCCATTTTATTTCATTTAATTAGTGAAATAATTAATTTAAAAAAAAACTGAAACTAGTATTGAGATTGAATAATGACCTTGTTGTCTCCATGGAAACAGCCTAAACCCACAGATGCTGATATGTGTGGAGTCATGTTTCTGTTTTTCTGATCTATTTAACCACCCTCTTATCTTGTTTGTCTTCCAGATTTATTCAGGAGATTGAACACGCCTTAGGACTTGGCCCTGCCAAACAGTGTCCCCTTCGAGAGTTTCTCACCATGTACATCAAAAGTATCTTCCTTAATCAGGTCTTGACTGAGATCAACAAGGAGATTGAAGGAGTCACCAAAACAGCAGACCCACTGAAGATCCTAGCCAATGCAGACACCATGAAGGTTTTGGGGGTGCAGAGGCCTCTCCTACAGGTAATAAGAAGAAAAGAGCTTACTCTTATGTATGTATATATGTATGTATGTATGTATGTATGTATGTATGTATGTATGTGTACCACTTATGTACCTAGTATGTGCAGAGACCAGCAGAGAGGGTTGGATCTCAAACATAAGTCACATGATCCGGGTGCTAGGAATCAAACCCAGGTTCCCTGGAAAGCCAGCCAGTGTTCTTAATCACCCAGCTATCTCTCCAGCCCCCAAATTACAGTTCTTAATCACCATTTTCTAATGACTTGGCAAGAGTCATAACTATAGAAAAGAAGAAGAATTACCATCTGGTTCTCTATTCAACAGGGACAAAACAAAAGGAAATAAATGAAATAGACACTAGGGAAATTTAGGTCTGATAGAGTTTGGATAATGGAAATTCCCAAGATCGTGAAAGGAATAAAAAAAGTTTTGATTTGACTATGGGAAATGGTAGATCTCATTGACATTCAGGCAACTCTTTGCTTCTTGTCTAGAATCTGTCATTTAAGGAATTGTTTTTCCACTGGTACATGCATCCCAGAGTAGGAAGAATCAGCAGGAAGGAAAGTAGTTACCCTGTGTTACCTCAGTTACCAGCGGGAAGCCAGTTCCCCCAAACCACTTTTAGGTAGTTAGTGTACATAACTTGACTAGCTTAGAAAGTCTTAACCAGGAAACTGGCTGTTAAAAGTCAGATCATTTAATTCAAGTAATGATCTTGTTAATATTGAACATTTTTCCTTGAACATATGGTTTCTGGGTAATACAAATTATCTGGCAATAGATGTTTTTGTTTCATAGCCCTGTGGTAGATATTTTATATATATTTTAGCTTATGATGTGATGATAAATAGAAAAGGAAAAAAACTATGGGTTTGAATTATGGATATATTTTGGCAATTACTTTAATCTTGCTTTAAGAAGAGCAAAATCAGGGTATGGTGGCTGACACTATTGATGCCAGCAGAGGCAGGTGGATCTCTGTGATTTTCAAGCCAGCCTGGTCCACATGGTGAGTTTCAGACCATCCAGGGGTTACATAGTGAGACTCTGTCTCAAGAAAAGAACAGTGAACACAAAACATTGCTCTATAAATTACACAGTTTGTGGGGCTCCCGGTATAGAAGAAGACTTGTGGTCTTCAGCAGAGCTGTGTCCATGGAAGGGTAATACTTGCTTAAGTTAGCTTTTTAGCTGTGCTACCTAACTTGGTACATCTGTGTACATTGGAATTCAGAGACATGCTAGAAGATCCTCAGAAGGGTGTCTAGTTTTACACAAATTCTGTGTGATAAAGAAGAGATGAACTAGAAGCATCATAGGGGAAGTTGCTCATGTGTACTGTCTGGTATTGCCAGGTATGCTCTTGCTGAGGTGGCTGCATTAAGTTTGGTGTACAGAGGGCGGGGTGCCAAAGCTGTGTGTTCACTGTTCACTGTCCCTTCTGGATCGCTGTTCCACTGATGAGACCTTGTCCATGAATCTTAGTATCTCACACCAACTGGAAGGCTCTTCAGGCTGCTGCCTAACCAGGTCTGCTTTTCTGATTTTCCCCAGTCTTCCCTTCCCTTCCCCATGCATTTTCAATGCTGAGGCCAATCCCCATGGAGTGTAGCAGTGAGACCATCCACAACGGGTTTCTTACTGTGTTCTTCTAGGAGGGACCACCATCTGGAACCCAAAGACAAAAGGGGCTGAATTGTTTCTTCCTCCCTACTTGAGGTGATGAAGCTTCCTCAATAGCTGGATCTCCTGCTCTCTCTGGGTTCTGACAACAGTTTTTCTCCTCACGCCCTGATTCCTTCTTTCTGCTGTTAGTAGTCCTCAACATCCCTAGTTCCTTTCCTCACCCCTTACCAGTACTTCTGGGAGTTATCTAACTTCATTTGAATTTCCTGTGTGGCACACTTTATATCAGGACCCAAAACCAAAATCTCCATTGACCATTCCTTTAGTATTTTCTGCTTGCTTGCTTGCTTTAACTTCAGATTGAACTCAGGACCTTACACACGCAAGGCCAAAATTCTATCCCTGAACTACACTCCCAAGCCCAACACTGGGTTTCCCCTTCTTACCATTTATCACAGATGAAATTACCACTTTTGCTATCTTGTCTTCTTTCATTTCCCACTAGGAGGGAAGTTCCTAAAGCCTGGCACAGGGTTGGCAGCAGGAAGTACTCCTGCATGTTACCAAATGCATGCGTGCATAAGTGAATCAACAGATGAGTAAACTGGATGAATAAATTCAAAATGGAAAACAAGCTGAGACAGTGACTATCGATTGTCTGACTATGAGTTCTTTTCCAGTATGTGTTATGCTGAAATGCCATACTGTGTGATATATCATATACTGAGTTTAAGGGAAGGACAGGGAAGGCACACTACACTGTCAAGTAAATCTTCAAACTAAAGACTCACCTTATTAAACGTAATCATTTTGAGCTTAGGGAGCAAGCACAGATTGAGAGTTAAGTCTGGTCCATATTGGACCATACACTACCCACTAAATGTCACCTCAGGGCACTGCATGGTGTTCCTATCAGATCACTCTAAAACTTGTGCCCCATCATGTTGTGTTCATGGCTCTCTTTTGTCCTTTAACTCAGTTACTCCAATTTGAGCTAGGTAAGAGTTCTTCTACATTATTTGTGGTCTTTTTTTTTTTTTTTTTACCTTATCAAGACATAATTCTACATCAATGAGTAAATCTTAAGACCAAAGCCATTCCAAGTAGTAACATCCAAGTATATGTTCAGAGCTAAAATACCTGCTTTGCTATATGGTTACAGTCTTGCCTTCTTTTGTACATTAAAATTGTATTTTTGAAGATGCAAAGTTCTGAGGGGTATGGTCATTTAATCTGTCTACTGTTCTTGAGATACAAGGTTTCCATCCTGAAAAAATCTCTCTTTATAACAATTGTAAATTATCTTCTAACACAATTTCCCATGCTAAAATTTCAGTGTTTCTTAAAGGTATCTCCAGGCCTACTTTATATTTTTGTTTCTAGCTAATTGCAGATAGCTAATCTGAGTAGGTCTTAAAACTATTAACTAGGAATGTCAGGCGTACTGAAAAGGCAGCTGGGGGCTACAAGTAAGAGCGAAGCAGGTGGGGAAAATTCTCAGTTACATGAAGCATAAAAAGGTCCCTGGGCTATGCTGTCAGGTCACAGAGGAGAGCAAAGCACATGCTCTTCCCCAGAGGCAGTAACTGTGTCATTTGTCATCAGCCCAGTTGGGTTTTTCAGGGAGAAGGAAGGACAGTTTTCTACGTGCTGCTTTCATTCATTTGATGATGGGCAGATGAAATGTATGTTGTCCTGTGAGGAGAACGTCCCCCATCTGTCTTTGGTGCCCACCTCCAACATGGCATCTAAGCAACCCAGGCATCATGTCATGAGGTAACATATCTGCGCGTGCTAACATGCACTTGCACTGATGATTTTACTTTCTGTGGCAAATTCTGTGGATGGAAGAAAGAGGTTAATAAGAAGAAAAAGCAAGCCCCTACTTTCTGGGAGAAATGCTGTGAAAGAAGTGGTTCTCAAATGACACAGCACAGCAGAACAAGAAGTAATGGCAGAAGCCATATCAGTAATGATAGCAATCAGCGCATTAGCAGTGTTGACTAGGAGCCAGACACCCTTTGGAGTGCTTTACATGAACAGGCTTCTATATGCTTTGATTGTATGACAAGAACTTCTTTGATTGTCTTATGAAAAGAAACTGAAAACAGTAGAATTAAATTACCAGCCCAGAGTCTTCTGGCAAGCAAATTGAAGGCTAGTTCACACCCAGGAAGTCTTGTCCTGAGCCCTGTGTGCTACCACAGATAGCAAATCATACTCAGAGGATTATGGTTGTCTGCAAGCCACCTGATACCTTTGTGCCATCAGACACAGATTTGAGAATGAGCCTTTAGATACCTTAATTTCTTCTTAGTACTTTGACATTGTCTGTGAATCTAGTAAATTGAAACTTATACCTCATGTATTTCTAGGTCTAGGATTTCTTTTTCTGATAACTCATTTTTATTGTATCTTATAAAAGCGTATATTCACAACAGATTGTGAGGATGCTGGGCTGTTGCCATAGTTAGAGGCGCATTGCTCCAGATCCTTTGCTGTCCCATACTGCCTCTCAGAGAGTAAAGAGAAGGACCATCTGCTTCAGCCCTAACACATTTACAACAGAGTGTGGGTATTGGTTACCATTGGTTCTCTCCAAAATCTCTAGTTCTAGAATAGACCTAAATTAACTAGAATATCTAATAATATTCATATAAATACTCTAATTTTTATTTATTTATGTGAATGTGTCTCTCTGTGTGCATGCACACATGTATGCATGTGCACACACCATGGTGCATGTGTGAAGATGAGAGGACAACTTGCCAACATTGGTTCTCTCCTACTACCATGTGGGTCCTGAAGAGCAAACCAGGTCTTCAGACTTGGGAGTAAGTGCCTTTTCCGTCTCAGCCATCCTGTTAGTCCCAATATTCAATATTTAACAAATGGATGAATGAATGAGAAGATGAAAATATGCTTTCCATACTACATGGACATATGTGGCTGTACCTTCCCCTCATGGCACAAAATTTCTGGTCTTGAGTTTCAAAACCTACACATTGCTAAATTAGAATGTCATGGTTCTTTTACCTGTGGTATTCCACTGTAAGGGCAGAAATGGGTGTGATTCATCTAGCCTTCTGAGAGGTTTCCTTTGCCACTACTTTTTCTGCAAAATGACTTAAACTCTTGCAATGTCAAGCTTGTTGATTCAAGCTAAACTAAGGAAGTCTTTTTGGAAGAAATTCCTCATTTGTCCTGAGCCATATTTTGGATGTGGAGCTTTGAAGCTCTGTGCTCAGCGTTTGACGTGGAATTAGGGGCACTTTTGTTGGAGGTGGTCCAGAGATTTTCATTCCATAGCGTGGTGGTTTGAATGTAATTGTCCCCCATAACCTCCTAAGGAGTGGCATTATCAGGAAATG